AAGGTGTTGGGATTATAGGCGTGAGCCACTGCGCCTAGCTGGGAAGCACTGATTTTTAAAGCATCTTTAGAAAAATCTAATTTCTCCTTTTGGGAGACTGGGGTTCTTTCAGTTAGCCTTTCTTAGAAATGCCCATTTCAAATCAAAGCTATTGATAGCATTATTTTCTATGCTGTAGCAAGTATAGTGCAGTGGACTGGCTAATTATACTGCCTCCGTATTAGAGCACTCCAGCAGAAGACCACAGAATGGAGAGTTATCAACAAGCAGCCTTGTCACGGTGGTTGGGTTACTTTATTAATTGCAAAAACAGAGTTCTCTTTTATAAAAAGTGGCCCTGTGTTTAAGCGCTTGTCAGATTAGGCAGGAGGAAACATCTCCCACTTCTGAGGCTGTTTCCATGCCTAAGTAAAGGTTCGAGGATGTCCCTGACACATGTGGATAGAGGGGTGTGATCAGCAGACAGACGTATCTATGTAACTGACGATCTATGCATTGAACACCCAATTTGCTAATGTTAAAATAGTTGGCATTGTAGATTAAAGTTTGTTATTGTTTAAATCTCAGCCAGACTTTTAAGAACTTCAGATAGATGATTCTTCTGGTACTTCAGGACCCACCTGGGGAGCACCGGCTAGGCTCCCAGAGCCGTGTGGGCTCCGTGTGTCTTTTCCATCATATTATTATACCGTATTTGCTCGAAAAAGCAGAGCCCTAGAAAGGACAGGTTGGAAGACCTGCAGCTGCCTGGTATCCTTGTGAAATGACAAATCAAATCCCAGGAAAGAGAAGACATCTCGGTGGCGGAGAGATGGAGGATTTCGATGGGTTAGAAAAAGAAAACCAATTCGTCAGTCCCCCAGTATATCCAACTACAGAGAGCATCGTTGGAAAGCGCGGGTGGAAAGAATTCAAGGGACTCAAGACAAAAAGATTCTGCCCAACAAGCCTTCTGCTTATGGGAAATGCCCTCTCCCCAAGTGGACGGTCACCAAACACCCTGGCACATGTCTCAAAGATCAAGGACACATGGCCAAGTGTTCAGGGTAAAACCACCCACAGTTCCAAACAGCTCAGCCCAGAGCTGGGAGCTTGGCGCCTCCTCTCCCAAACAGCAACCTAATTCAAGGTCCCATCGTGCATCCCAGGGTCCCCCGTAAGAGAGGAAAGAGGGCAAGGGGACAAGAAGAAAGAAAGAGGGCATCCCCTTGGTAAGTGAAGGTGAATCCTTTGAGTAGCCAGGACTGCGGGGTCAGGGTTCCCCTGGCGAGAGCATCAGGTCACCAATTTGCCAAATCTCATTCATAAAAATATTTTCCCAATAACTGTATTCCTTTAGGTTATACTTGAGACGATAGATTAGGAAAAAGAAAAGCGCTCAGAAAGTATCTCATTCAATTAACCTTATTCCTTTGGGGTAAGAGGAAACCCTGGTTTGGGGAAGCCAAATGCTTTCCGCATGTGGATTTGGTATCAGCGAAATCTGCGCTCCTGGCAGCCAGGAGTTAAGATAATTAAAATCAGAAGCCTTGTTACTAGAGGATATGTTTTGATTATTAGATCAGATGAAGATAAGGTAGCAACGAGTTTGGAAGAAGTATTGCCGAACTGTTTCATTAACTGCACAGTATTAAGCAATTCCCCCAAGATACGGATAACGAACATTAATTTGCAAAACTGCGCTTCCTTTTTTTGTGAAGGCAAACACTGAAATCTTAACTGATTTGGAAGAAATTGTTCTATAATAAAAAATGTGAGGTCTATAGCCTTGCTCTCTTGTAGCCAGCATGTATCTGAGTCACGCCCTTTAACTCAACATGGAAAGAAAGGGAAATTATCTCATAATGATACCGTTGCTGGGGTCAGAAATTGCTGTAACATGAGAAAATGAGATTAAATCTAGAATAAAAACTGAATCCTGGTACTCAATGGGCAAGCTGATGAGAGAGGAAGAAATGGTGGCGATGTAATAAATGACCCGGCTTGCAGTGGCTCACGCCTGTAATCCCAGCACTTTGGGAGGCCGAGGTGGGTGGATCACCTGAGGTCGGGAGTTCGAGACCAGCCTGACCAAAATGGAGAAACCCCGTCTTTACTAAAAACACAAAATTAGCCAGGCGTGGTGGTGCACGCCTGTAATCCCAGCTACTTGGGAGGCTGAGGCAGGAGAATCACTTGAACTCAGGAGGCAGAGGTTGAGGTGAGCCGAGATCGTACCACTGCACTCCAGTTTAAGAGACAGAGTGAGACTCTGTCTCAAAAATAAATAAATACATGACCTGGATGAGGACAGATGGAACCAGATTCCAACCATTTCCCCATAGTCAGCAGGCCTGTCTCCTCAGAGGGACCCAGCTCTGGGCAGTTTCTCACTGAGTGGGTGAAACTGACCCCAAAGCAGCAGAAGGGAGGAGTGAGGGAGGGTCGCGTGAGACATCAGCATCAGCAACAGATTTGCTGGAAAGAGAATGTCTCTTAGCTTAGAAGGTCGGATGTGACTTCCACAGACCTGGGGTTTTATTTGCCTTGAGCACTGGCAGTGCCGGAGCTCTAGTGCACCAGGTCCTCCTGCGGGGGTATCCTCAGAAAGCCAGGTTGCCCAGCAGAACTCAGAGTGGGGTGCAGCGGCTCATGCCTGTAATCTCAGCGCTTTGGGAGGCTGCGGCGGGCAGATCACTTGAGATTCGAGGTTCAGATCAGCTTGGGCATCATGGTGAAATCGTGTCTCTATCAAAAATACAAAAATTAGCCTGGCGTGGTGGAATGTGCCTGTAGTCCCAGCTACTCAGGAGGCTGAGATGAAAGGATGGCTGCAACCCAGGAGGCAGACGTTGTAGCGAGCCGAGACTGTGCCACTGCACTCCAGTTTGAGCGACAAGAGCGAAAACGTGTCTCCAAAAGAAAGAAAGAAAAACTCGAAATGGACCTAACTACATTCTAGGACTACTTCATCCCAGAAAAAGTTTTCTTTACATTTTCACAATGAACTCTGAGGCACTTTATTCATACAATGTATAGACCTTACAGTCAGTCGGTCATTCACTCAACCACCCAACATGGGGGGACTGGGTTGGGGAAGGAATGGACCTGAAAGGGCTGCCCTCGGGCAGAGCAGGGAACCCCCAGCCTGGGGCTGAAGCCTTGCCCTAAAGGTCCTGCCTTCTACGGTGTCAAGACAGAACTCCGAGAGTCTCCCCTGGCTGTGAAGCCTGTGAATTGAGAGTCCCAGGACCCTCTTCAAATTACATTTGCTTCAACAGATCGTAAACACCTGAAGTAAAATCATTACTTCCCCTTGATAATGCAGTAAAATCATTACTTTTTAATATGTGGAAAAGGTTCTGCGTTCTGAGTCTGGGATACAAATTTATGGAGAAGCCCGAGTACCTGGTGGGAGGGAGCCTGAGTGTCTGGCTCCCTGGAATGAAGCGGCACGGGGTTTGGGGCCACTGAGGGAAAACGTGCCTGTTGCCTTAGAGGGTCAGATGTGACTTTCACGGACCTCTGGCGTTTCATTTGGCTTACGCAGCGCTGGAGCTCTAGCCTCCAGCTAGAGTGTACCAGGTCCTCCTGCGGGGGTATACTCAGAAACCCGGATGCCCTGCACAGCCCAGCTAAAGCGTCGGGCCGCATCGACTCACGCCTGTCATCCCAGCACTTTGGGAGGCTGAGGCAGGCGGGTCACTTGAGGTCAGCAGTTCAAGACCAGCTTGGGCATCATGGTGAAATCCTGTCTCTACCAAAAAACCAAAAATGAGCTGGGCGTGATGGTATGTGCCTGTGGTCCCAGCTACTCAGAAGGCTGAGGTGAGAGGATTGCTTGAGCCTGGGAGGCGGAGGTTGCAGTGAGTAGAGATTGCACCACTGCACTCCAGTCTGGGTGACAGAGTGAGACCCTGTCTCAGGAAAAATCCAAAACAAAAGCTGAAACAAAAATTGGGTAAAAGGACTATCTGTGTAGATGACCTTTGACGGACACTCTGAACCTCACGTAAGAAAGTCCACAGAATTTCCAGGCTGAGGACCAGATTCCCAGTCTTGGGCGATCTCAGGTGGTGGTGCGGTACACTGGACAGACTCTACCAGATGGGCCTTTCCACTGAGTGCCAGGAGACACGTGTGCTTCACAGAGGCATGGCCCGTCAGGAGGGAAATGCTGGCTGGGTGCAGTGGCTCATGCCTGTAATCCAGCAGTTTGGGAGACTAAGGTGAGTGGATCATTTGAGGCCAAGAATTTGAGACCAGCCTGGGCAACATGGTGAAATCCCATCAACACTAAAAATACAAGGCCGGGGGCAGTGGCTCACACCTGCAATCCCAGCACTTTGGGAGGCTGAGATGGGCGGATCACCTGAGGTCAGGAGTTCAAGACTAGTCTGACCAATGTGGTGAAACCCTGTCTCTACTAAAAATACAAATACTAGCTGGTCGTGGTGGCCCATGCCTGTAGTCTCAGCCCCTTGGGAGGCTGAGGCAGGAGAATCACTTGAACCTGGGAGGTGGATGGAGGTTGCTGTGAGCCAAGATCGCACCATTGCACTCCAGCTTGGGCGACAAGAGTAAAACTCCGTCTCAAAACAAACAAACAAACAAACAAACAAACAAACAAACAAACAAACAAACAATTAACCAGGTGTGGTGGTGCACGCCTGCGATTCCAGCTATGTGGCAGGCTGAGCAGGAGAATCACTTGAATCTGGGAGGCAGAGGCTGTAGTGAGTGGAGGTCACACCACTACGCTCCAGCCTGGGCGACAGAGTGGGACTCCGTCTCAAAAAAAAAAAAAAAAAAAAAAGAGGGAAATTCGGTCTACACCAGGCTGATGGCAGGGTTCAACATCCAGTCTCCCTGCCGTGGACTGCAGGACTCTGCTTGGAGCTACTTTACAGAGGTTCAAGGTCGCCACACTTGCTATCAAGTCCAGGAAGGCAGTGGGCGTGTGCGTGTCCAACCACCCGTCCTGCTCCCTCGGGCCACCCCCAGCCCCGAGGCACCCTTACTTTGAGCGTGCTGTTCTTGGCGCTCAGTTGCTGCTCGAGCTGCGAAATCTGGCTGGCCGAGTTCTCCCGCAGCTTGGTGAGGCCGGCCTGGAGTCTCTGCACGTCCTCCACCAGCTGTGCAATCTCCCGCTCCTTGGCGGCCAACTCAACTTCTAGGCTGGAGCGGGTCAGCACCTCTATGGCCTGCTCCTGGGGAGGAGAAATGAGATGACGAAGCTGCACAGACCTCAGGGTGTGGATGGTGACGGCAGGACGCCGCTTCTGGCCTTTGCTTGGACTTCCCTATGCCACCTTCCTCCCTCGGTGGTTAGCTGCCACCTGGATTCATTCACTGGACAAATACATACCGAGTGCCCACCATGTACAAAGTACATAGCAGTGAATCAAAGGACACAACTCCAGGATGACACACCTGTAATCCCAGCACTTTGGGAGGCCAAGGTGGGTGGATCACCTGACATCAGGAGTTTGAGACCAGCCTGGACAACATAGTGAAACCCCATCTCTATTAAAATGCAAAAAATTAGCTGGGCTAATTACAGGCATGTGGTAATGCACGCCTGTAATCCCAGCTACTCGGGAGGCTGAGGCAGGAGAATTGCTGGAACCCAGGAGGTGGAGGTTGCAGTGAGCTGAGATCGCACCACTGCAGCCTGGGCAACAGAGTGAGATTCTGTCAAAAAAAAAAAAAAAAAAATGGAGAAAAGTCCATCTTCCCAGGGCTTACAGTCCAGCAGGGATGGGGCGGGGTGAGCGAAGACACAGAAAACAGTAGTGGTGAAAAGCGTGCAGGGTGACCACAGACAAAAGAGACATAAGACAGAGGCCACAGAGTCAGAGTTGAGAGACGCTGGGGGTTTAATAAGGTGGCCATGAAAAGACTCACTGAGATGGTGATGTGAGCTGAGACCTGGGGGAGGTGGGGAGGGGCTGCTGGGCGCTGGGGAGGAGGGAAGAGTGTTCCAGGCAGGGGAATGGAGAGTGGGTGGCTCGGAGGAGGGAGCCTCCCTCGAAAGCTCCCAAACCACTGAGATTTTCCACCGAAAGGTGGGAATCAAGGTCCTTGAGATTCACTGTTAAAATTACCCAGAAGCTGAGATATTGTTTGACAAACGATTACTCTGTATCAGCATTTTCTTTTTTCTTTTTTTTGAGACAGAGTCTTGGTCCCTCTGCCGCACAGGCTGGGGTGCAGTGGTGTGATCTCAGCTCACTGCATCCTCCATCTCCCGGGTTCAAGCAACTCTCCTGCCTCATCCTCCTGAATAGCTGGAATTACAGGTGGGTGTCACCATGGACCTGCCTCATTTTTGTATTTTTAGGAGAGATGAGGTTTCACCATGTTGACCAGGCTGGTCTCAAACTCCTGACCTCAACTGATCTGCCTGCCTTGGCCTCCCAAAGTGCTGGGATTATAGGCATGAGCCACTGTGCCCGGCCAGCATTTTACTTAGTAATGAAAAGGAAAAGATGTGGAAGATGTGTCCTTGGTGTTCTTTTGTTGAAGAACTCTTAGGATAATTGATTTAAAAAAAAACTGGCTGCCCACCTTTAACCTCACCAAATGCTCACTGTGGAAAATATGCAAAAGAGAAAAACGGTAAGGTATTTTTTTTAAAAAAAAAAAGGCTGGGCGCAGTGGCTTACGCCTGTAATCCCAGCACTTTGGGAGGCCAAGGCGGGCGGATCACGAGGTCAAGAGATCAAGACCATCCTGGCCAACATGGTAAAACCCTGTCTCTACTAAAAATACAAAAAAATTAGCTGGGCGTGGTGGCACGCACCTGTGCCCCAGCTACTTGGGAGGCTGAGGCAGGAGAATTGCTTGAACACGGGAGGCGGAGGTTGCAGTGAGCCGAGGTCGCGCCCTTGCACTCCAGCCTGGCGCCTGGTGATAGAGTGAGACTCTGTCTCAAAAAAAAAAAAAAAAAAAAGTCAAATCTGTAATTCTACGTCTCAATGACTCAAGTACTACTTTTTTTCAAGCTTTAAAAGTAATTCTGGGGCCAGGTGCAATGGCTCACTTCCATAATCCAAGCACTTTGGGAGGCAGAGGTGGGTGGATCACCTGAGCTCAGGAGTTCCAGACCAGCTTGGGCAACACGGTGAAACTCCATCTCTACAAAAAATACAAAAATTAGCCAGGCATGGTGGTGCGTGCCTGTAGTCCCAGCTACTCAGGAGGCTGAGGCCAGAGGATCACTTGAGCTTGGGGAGGTCAGGGCTGCAGTGAGCCATGATCACACCACTGAACTCCAGCCCTGGTGACAGAGCAAGAGTCTACATCAAAGTGGCAAAAAAAAGGAATCATGATTCCTGAAATATTTTCTGCAGGGCGGATGCAATTCTGGGCATGATAGATGGAGACAGGGGTGGGGAGGGCAGAGGTGCATGGTGTCTGTGACAGCAGAATCCTAGGGGCAGCTGACGCGGTAACGCAGAAAGCCACTGTCCTTGTCGCTGTCCCCCCTCTGAAGTGCTCAGTAGCACATCCTGATCTTGCCTGTATTGTGGGGAAATGGTGGCACCGTGGCCCCGGCTAGCCGGTGCGGCTGGGCCATTCCATGCTCCGTGTGCTTCTCACGGGTTTTCAAATTTGGGGACAGCCAGTCACTCAGGGAAATAATGTTTCATATCCCCCTAGGGGAAAATGGAGGCCTTTACCATTTAAGTCTGTAAAGTTTTGCGTGCAAAGACGGGACTCCTTCCTGCTTCTCTGATTTGTATGAGGTCGCAAAATAGGTGGCTCAGCTCTCCTGACCTGTGACAGCTGTGCGTGTGGCCCTGGGGGGCCGCGAGCGAGCATCTCCTGTGGCTTATTTCCCAAGCACAGGCCGTCCGGGCCCGTTCTGCGCAGCGTGAGCTGCATGGATCGGTGCCAATTTGCAAACTGTTGCCGGTGCACAGTGAGGCAATTACGGAAATCGAGAATAAGTGTTTAGAAACTTTTATAGCGATTCGGCATTTCGGTGACATTTTAAATGTCTTTTATATAAAACGATCAGTCTGCCACAGACTGGAAATTTAAGAAACAAAACAAAACTGTCCATCATAGGGAGTTTGGAAAGCACCGCTCTGGATAACGCCAGGCAGGGCCAACGTCAGGAACCCTGGGATGTGCCCTCCAGGGTAGGAGGGCCAGGACAGTGGCACGTGGGGCTGAGCTATGAGGGGTGGGCCTTAGAAGGAAGGAAGGGGGCTCCTTCTCAGGGTGGGTGCTGGGGAAGGGCAGGGGACATAGAGGCAGGTGGCCAGAGGCACCTGTACATGTGGTGACAGCCTTGGGGAGTCCCTGCAAGCTCTGGCGCAAGGAGGGGACACGCAGAAGTGACATGCAGGGAGGTCAGTCTGGGCATAGATTGAACCATGCTTATCTTAATCTTCCACCCCTGAGGGGTGATGGCCACAGATGTGGTTTGGAGGACCTTTAGGAAAAGGTCAATAAAACCACCCAAGGGGACGCGAGCTTTATGAGGGGCAAGTGGAAGTGAACGTGTCTAGGACAGGTGCTTCTAATGACATGGGTTAAAGGTGTGGATTTCACTGCTGTCCCTGGACACAGAGTGGGGACTGGGGAGCGTGCAATCGTCTGTTCAACTCCTGGGTCCAGTTGGGTGTGGCCACACCAGCCAACTCCCAGGAACTAAAGTCACAAATTCCTCCTTCACAAAATAGCAAAAATCATCACTGTCTTGCATGAACTAAACAAGGTGATAATGAGCCCCAAAGTAGTAAGACCTTGGAAATGGCACAGACATGATCGCCCTGCCTTTATCTGAGTTTTTTGTTTGTTTTTGTTTTTTGAGATGGAGTCTTGCTCTGTCACTGAGGCTGGAGTGCAGTGGCGTCACCTTGGCTCACTGCAACCTCTGCATCCCAGGTTCAAGGGATTCTCCTGCTTCACCCTCCTGAGTAGTTGGGATTATAGGCACACACCACCACACCTGGCAAAAGCACATTTTTATAGTTTTAGTAGAGATGGTGTTTTGCCATGTTGGCCAGGCTGGTCTCGAACTCCTGACCTCGTGATCCGCCTGCCTTGGCCTCCCAAAGTGCTGGGATTACAGGCATGTGTCACCACCCTCAGCCTCATATTTACTTTTTCGGAAACAGGGTTTCTCTCTATTGCCCAGGTTGGAGCACAGTGGCGCAATCATAGCTCATTGTAGCCTCTGCCTCTTGGGTTCAAGCAATCAAGAAATAAAAAAGAACTACGCAAAACACAGCGTGGCCACAAACTTGGGGCAGCAGCTCGCTCAGTGACCGCTCACCTTCTAGAATCAGGGATTCTCCTGGGATACCCAGTGGGTGGGTTATGGCCTCCGCTAGATCTGCAGATGCCACTGTTTCTCTACTGCGTTCTGCCAGCCAAGCGCAACAGACCATTTTTCCGCTGGCCCGGTTGCCTATGTTTGCTCCCCAACTGGCTGCAGCAGGAACCCACTGGCTATGTGGGAACACATGCCTGCGGGAAGCCCAGCGGGGCTGCTCTGGGGAGACTGAACCGGTGCCATGTAAACAAGGCACTTAACGGATGATGAAGTGTTGAAGCGCCCCTAGGATCCACAACCGACTCTACCTGCAAAAACATTCATTTCCTTCTCAAATGTTTTGGTTGCTGCAGTGCAGGATGGTGCCAGAATTCTTTTCAACCAAAACACTGAGTTTAGGGGCCCCATGTAGACACATCAGAATGGACGGCTTCCTTTGCAGTACCAAGTGGGACCCCAGGGGCCAGAGGAAGCCACTGCCCTGGTGCTGAAGGCTGCCTCCCACCGCAGCCATCATGGTGCTGTATCCAGTTTGTCTCAACTTCGAGGAACGAATGGTAACAGAGCCAAGGGGACGTTTCCGCTAAAATTAAGTCCCAGAGTCCATGAAGTACGAAGGACAGGATGGGCTGTTCAATGGAAATCTTTTCTCTACATCTGGAAACACTTCAATCATATATACTCGGATTTTTTTTTTTTTTTTTTTTTTTTTTTTGAGATGGAGTCTCGCTCTGTCTCCCAGGCTGGAGTTCAGTGGTATGATCTGGGCTCACTGCAACTTCCACCTCCTGGGTTCAAGCGATTCTCCTGCCTCAGCCTCCTGACTAGCTGGAATTACAGGTGTATGCCACCACACCCAGCTAATTTTTCTAGTTTTAGTAGAGACAGGGTCTCACAATGTTGGCCAGATTGGTCTCGAACTCCTGACCTCAGGTGATCTGCTCACTTCGGCCTCCCAAAGTACTGGGATTACAGGCATGTGCCACCATATCCAGCCTTGCTTCTTGGGTTCAAGCAATCCTCCTGCCCTGGCCTCCTGAGTAGCTGGGACTACAGGCACATGCCACCATGCCTGGCTGATTTTAAATTTTTTGTAGAGATGGGGTCTCGATATTTTGCCCTGGCTGGTCTCAAACTCCTGGCCTCAAGTGATCCTCCTGCTTCGGCCTCCCAAAGGGCTGGGATTACAGGCATGAGCCACTGTGCCTGCCCGGCAACAAATGTTTTATTTAATGTTAGTTTTAAAAAGAAAGCTGAAAAACCCATTCTTAGAAGGGAATCTTAAAACCCTGATCTAGATTCATTGCTGGGGAATAGTTTAAAAGCCCCGTCTGAAGTGTCAGAAGGCCCAACTCGGGTCTTAGCTCAGCCACCAGATTGTGCTTTGGGAAGAGGTGTTTATATTCACCGAGCTTTTGTTTCTTCATCTATTTAAAGAAATAGGGCTGCGAATGATGGCTCATGCCTGTAATCTCAGCACTTTGGGAGGCTGAGACGGGAGGATCAATTGAGCCCAGGAGGTCAAGGCTGCAGTGAGCCATGATCACTCCCCTGCACTCCAGTGTGGGTGACAGAGTGAGACCGTGTAGTGGCTCATGCTTATAATCCCAGCACTTTGGGAGGCCGAGGTGGGCGGATCACCTGAGGACAGGAGTTCAAGACCAGCCTGGGCAACATGGGGAAACCCCACCTCTGCAAATAATACAAAAATTAGCCAGGTGTGGTGGTATGCACCTGTAACTCCAGCTACTCGGGAGACTAAGGCACGAGAATCGCTTGAATCTGGGAGATGGAGGTTGTAGTGAGCTGAGACTGTGCCACTGTACTCCAGCCTGGGTGACAGAGCAAGACTCTGTCTTGAAGAAAAAAAAAAAAGAAAGACAGAAATAACAGTATCCTGGCCAGGCATGGTCGCTCACGCCTGTAATCCCAGCACTTTGGGAGGCCGAGGAGGGCGGATCATGAGGTCAAGAGATCAAGACCATCCCAGCCAACATGGTGAAACCCCGTCTCCACTAAAAATACAAAAATTAGCTGGGCATGGTGGCACACATCTGTAGTTCCAGCTACTCGGGAGGCTGAGGTAGAAGGATCAACTTGAACCCGGGAGGTGAAGGCTACAGTGAGCCGAGACTGCACCACTGTGCTCCAGCCTGGTGACAGAGCAAGACTCTGTCTCAGAAAAAAAAAAAAAAAAAAAAAAAAAAGAAAGAACAGTACCCTGTTTAAGGATTGGGTGAAAATAATGACTATCGAACTGACAGATGAATTTATTACAAGAGCAAGTTCTTCTGATGAGACTGTACTCTCTGCAACCAGCCTCATTTCACTCCTCATGGTTCTCTGGGTGTCTATGACAAGCCCTGGCATATAGCAAGGGCTCAACAGAGTCACTGTTCCAAAAAAGGACTCCTACAACTGATATGTACTCATCGTAGCCTTGGATGCGCGGCTCCCTCACAGGGGCCTTATGATCGCTTCATCCACATTTTACACATGGGAAAACTGAGGGTTGTAAGTGAATTAGTGATCAGATTGAGTGCTAGGAATTGTGGCATCAGGCTAGGTGCGGTGGCTCACACCTGTAATCCCAGCACTTTGGGAGGCCGAGGCAGGAGGATCGCTTAAGTCCAGGAGTTTGAGACCAGCCTGGGAAACAGGGCAAAACCTTGTCTCTACAAAAAATAGCCAAATCAGCTGGGTGTGATGGTGTGTGCCTGCAGTCCCAGCTACTTGGGAAGTTGAGGTGGGAGGATGGCTTGAGCCTGGGAGGTGGAGGCTGCAGTGAGCCGAGATTGCACCGCTGTATTCCAGCCTGGGCAATAGAGACCTTGTCTTTAAATAAAAAAAAGAAAAAGAAAAGAAAAAGAAAAACATGAAACTTAAAACTGGAGGATCAGAGATAATGGTGCCAATCACAACTAGAATTACTGCTAAGGTTTGCTTAATCTTATCGCGTGTCTAGCCTTGCTCTACATTATTTCCTCGTAATAACTTCCTGGTCAGCCCCCTAGTTTACAGGCGGAGAAACTGAGACTCAGGGATGTTAAGCTCCTTGTCCTCATCACCAGACTACAGAGCTGGGGTCCACACCAGTGGGGAAGGCTCCAACACCCAAGGTCTTAGCTCCTACACTGTTCCTTGTCCACACACAGCACTGAAGGACAGTCTGGAAACAGTAGTTCAAAGCCACCTTGATCAAGCTGGGAATGTTTGGGCTAAGAGTCATTTGTGTTAATTTCAGAGAAATCAAGCTGCAAAAAGGTGGTGAGATACCCGCCCTTCCTTCTCCATCAGCTCGATACCCGCCCTTCCTGCTCTATCAACTCGGTGCAGACGTAATAAAACGTCTCTGCCACTCCCCACCCCCTGCCCAGCTCATCCTGAACTGTTGTTCCTCATCTTGGGATGGCACAGCCAGGATGAGAGGAAACTGTCAATTTCCTTGTGTCATTCTGGAGAGGCTCTGGGTTCAGATCTCCACCCGCGCACCAGCAACCCCGCCCCCCCAGGCCTGGCCGGGGCATTGTGACTGTGTCTGCGCAGCCTCCACCTCGGGCCTGGGTGGATGCCACGCTGGCCTCAGCCCATCCACGCACAGTCAGCAAAGCTCTTCCTTCGACTTTAACAAGCTCCAGCCCTCAGTTGGTGGAGCAAACGCCAGCAAGGAAGCAGTACTGGTGAAAACGTGATCCCCAAAAAGAGATGCTAAAACGAAAAGGAGCAAGCAGCGGTAACTTGAAGGTGCAGGGGCCAGGCGGGGACGGTATCCCACGGGGCCAGGGCTACCCACCACGTCTGGTGCCTTCTGGATCTGTGAGGCCAGCTGGAGGGAGTGATTGGCCGATGAGAGCTGTTCCCTTAAGGTCTCCGCCTCTCTCTGAGCCACCTCTGCCCTCTGAAGGAAATGAAAAGGGGTGAAAGAGAAAGCACATTCAGTTTAACAACTGACAATTATTACAAGAACATTCATCAATTCACGCCTGACTGACTATAATTGATTTTCCTAAACACTCAACCTAATAAATGCTAGGGAAAAAAAACACAGAATGTGATGGATTTTTATTTTAAACAGTACAAGGAAGAAATAATTGAGCGATTATGACAGTAATTTAACGCTAGGAGCAAAGGAATCCCCTGCTGATACTAATACTCCGGCCCACTGAATTTCCCAGACTGAATAAATACAAGTGGAAATCGAGTCTTTTGATTCAATTTCTTTCTATTCTCATAGACCAAGAAGATTTTATTGCGGGATTACTCCTGGGAGTAATTCTCACGGGTAAACAGTGAATCAAAGACGCTTTCGCCATTCTCTTCCTAAAAACACACACAAACAATGTTGTGGTTGTTTTTCTTCAGCAAGGATTTCCATAAACGTACAGGATGTAAATGCCACTGCTTCTGTACGGGCCAGGCTTATTTCAACATATTTAACCCTTCACTGGGCAAAGCGTTTTGAATGCTGATCCTGGCATTTTCAGCCAACCAGGCCAGTCCGAGGCCATAGGATGGCACAGACCATTGCTGGTGGCTGTGGGGCAAATGAGTGGACTTTCCCATCATTTGCCTGCAATTCCTGAACAAGGAAACCACCGTCCCCAGAAAGCAAATGGGGATTTCCCACTGAATGGCGAGACAGGTCACTGTAGTAGCCGTCACCCGACAGGGCATCTGGGAGAAGACAAACCATGGCAAGCTACCCAAGCTCGCCGAGCTGCCGCCTACCGATCTGTGAAATGGGAACCCCATCCCTAGCCGCAAGCTCCTGGGATACACAGAACTCAGGCAGATGTGATTTGTGAACGGATTGAGACACAGTTCTTTTTCTTTTCTTTTCTTTTTTTTTTTTTGATACAGAGTCTTGCTCTGTCGCCAGGCTAGAGTGCAGTGGCACGATCTCGGCTCACTGCAACCTCCACCTCCCAGGTTCAGGTAATTCTACCTCAGCCTCCCAAATAACTGGGATTATAGGCGTGCGCCACCACGCCCTGCTAATTTGTGTGTTTTTATTAGAGACAGGGTTTCACCATGTTGGCCAGGATGGTCTTGATCTCTTGACCTTGGGATCCACCCGCCTTGGCCTCCCAAAGTGCTGGGATTACAGGCATGAGCCACCGCGCCCGGCCTTGAGTTGCAGCTCTAAGATAGGTGGGAGCCGGTGGTGAATGACGTGGGACACATGGACTGAGATGAAAGTTCCGCGTCTTTCTCCCAGACTTACATAAACATTCAATCAGGAGAGCCTGGCCAGGGAGCATCTCATCATGTGTTATTTTGTGGCATGGCAGCGTGTGGCTATTAATTGCTGAGAAAGCGCTCCGAAAGACAAGCAGCTGGCCTGCCCTAGAACTGCGTGATCACTGTAGTTCTAGGAGGGGTGGCTTTGGCAGCTTTAAGTAATTCTGTGGCAACAGCATTGAAAATATTTGCCCTGCACATGGACAAATTAGGATATTTCTTTTTTTTTTTTTTGAGACGGAGTCTCGCTCTGTCTCCCAGGCTGGAATGCAGTGGCACAATCTCGGCTCACTGCAGCCTCCGCCTCCTGAGTTCAAGTGATTCTCCTGCCTCGGCCTCCTGAGTAGCTGGGATTACAGGCACCCGTCACACCTGGGTAACCTCTGTGTTTTTAGTAGGGACAAAGTTTCGCCATGTTGGCCAGGCTGGTCTCAAACTCCTGACTTCAGGTGATCCGCCTGCCTTGGCCTCCCGAAGTGCTGGGATTACAGGCATGAGCCACTGCGCCCAGTCAATTTAAGATATTTCTAATGGCAGTTCCATCTGCCCAGGGTAGTGCTGGTGGCTGCCCACCTTGCATCTCCAGGAGCTCTTGGAATTACATTCAACTGAGTTCACGTGGTGCCCGGCTGGGCCTATCTCAGCCCAAGCAGTCACCTCTTTCACTAGCTCTCCTCCACACTGAATCTAGAACAAGCCATCGGGAAGGAGGCAAGGTGACCTGTACGTCCAGGACTGTAGAGGTGACTTCTGGTTTTTGCTAACTAATGAACTGTTAATTTTTTTTTGAGATGGAGTCTCGCTTGCCCAGGCTTGAGTCCAGGGGCGCAATCTTGGCTCACTGCAACCTCCACCTCCAGGGTTCAAGTGATTCTCCTGCCTCAGCCTCCTGAGTAGCTGAGACTACAGGTGTGTGCCACCATGCCTGGCTAATCTTTGTATTTTTAGTAGAGACAGGGTTTTGTCATGTTGGCCAGGCTGGTCTGGAACTCCTGACCTCAAGTGATCCACCTGCCTCAGCCTAGTCTAATCAACTATTAAGACTACAGAAAAACGTCCTCTTCAACAAAAAAGATTTTTCCCAGTTTATTTCCAGATGAGCCACACCAAGTGTTTCTGATAATCATGTCACATCCCTGAAGGGCTTTTCCCTCGCTGGTCAGTTCAACTCTTGGGTAGAAAATATCCAAGACTCTGCCTGAAATAAGATGGATTTGGAGATATTTTTCCTGGTCTCTTGGGCTAGAAAACCTGTTTCTTAGCCTCGTGGAGAAACTGTTCTGGTGGCAGCCAAGGAGGTGGCCTGACCGCTCTGACTTGTAACACTGGCTCTGAAGTGTTCTCGGATAGCCAGAGCCGGGCAGGCTGGGGCATCTGGTTACAAGGTATCCTCAGGGGCCTACACTGGTCTCAGGTGGGCATTTAGCCATTCAGAGCAGATACCGTCTCATCGCAATGCAACAGTACACAGAAGAAGGGATCTAGCTGGTGGGATCTAGCGGAAGGGATCTAGCTGGTGGGATCTAGCGGAAGGGATCTAGCTGGTGGGATCTAGCGGAAGGGATCTAGCTGGTGGGATCTAGCAGAGGGATCTAGCTGGTGGGATCTAGTGGAAGGGATCTAGCTGGTGGGATCTAGCGGAAGGAATCTAGCTGATGGGATCTAGCTGATGGGATCTAGCTGATGGGATCTAGCTGAAGGGATCTAGCTGATGGGATCTAGCTGAAGGGATCTAGCTGATGATTTCAACCTCTGATTGCATAACTATTTTTTTTTTGAGATGAAGTCTCACTCTGTCGCCCAGGCTGGAGTACACGGGTGTGATCTCAGCTCGTTGCAACATTCACCTCTCGGGTTCAAGTGACTCTCCTACCTCAGCCTCCTGAGTAGCTGGGATTACAGGTGTACGCCACCATGCCCAGCTAATTTTTGTATTTTTAGTAAAGATGGGGTTTCGCCATGTTGGTCAGATTGGTCTCGAACTCTTGATCTCAAGTGATCTGCCCGCCTCAGCCTCCCAAAGTGCTGGGATGACAGGCATGAGCCACCGCGCCTGGCCTGATTGCATAATTTCTGTGGAGCGTTTGAACTTGCACTCAGTTTCCAAGTTCGTGGACAGTCTCTCTGTGGCCTGTCTGTCAGCGGTCATGGTGGTCAGACTTCTATCACTTATGGCTTGACTTCCTTTCTTTTGCGAAAACTTCTGATCATGTAGTCATTCAGGATTTCTGTCCTGAGGGCGTCCAACAAAATACAAAACTGACAAAACGAAGTGTTGAGGTGGTGTGTGTGGTGAGACATCCACGAGGCGGAATTCCAACTAAAAACAGACCTAACGGCAGTGAAAAGAAGGAGCGAGGGAACAGATGCTGACCCGCAGCTGGGGTGATCGGTTTCGGGAGCTGAGAAGTAACTGTAGCCCGGTGTTGGCAGCAGAGGCAGGAAGAAGGGGGCCCTGTGCCGGGTGGCGCGTGGTGACACTGGTTTTGAGGCTCTGGCGTCTTCCTGAAGGCACCTGTTTGACCAGCTGTAGCTGTGTCTCTAGATCCGGAACCCCAGATGCAAGAGCTGAGGCTGCCCTGACACCTCCACTTCCCCGTGCTCACTGTGGCTCCTGTCTCCTCCTGTGTCCCTGCAGAGGCGGAGCCGCCAGGAGCCCTTGTTCTAATTTTGCATGTGCCCCTTGCTGAGCCTCAGTGGCTGTTCCTGGAGATCTTTCTTGCTGTTTCTTGTCTCTTCTCTGTTCTGTGCTGAGAAATCAAGAGTAGATGTTGGAAACACAGGGCCGATATGCTCCCATATCGGTGATAACTCAGAAAACAGCCACCTGGGAAGGGGACCGGTGGCTACTGGGCTCACACAGGCCGATGCCCGCCACCTGGCGACGGGGTCCAGTACGCTGTCATGAAGGTCCCTGGCAGGTGAGGCTGCAGGCGCTCCTGACATCCTCCTCATCTCAAAATGGAAGATGCTTTTGGGGACAATTACTGGCAGCAGGTTAAACCGTGCCTCCCCTCAGCAGTCACGTGGGAGGTAGCCAGCAGCTAGTGACACGGGGTCTCAGGAATTCTTCCTGTTAGAGTCAAATCAGCAAATACAGAGATAGTCTCCACTGTGAGACCCAGGGGAGCCTCCATCTCTAGGGGAGGTGAGGGAGGCTGTTCTGCTCCCTGCACTGGAGTCACATTCGTCACTGGGTGATTTGGGGACAGGCAGCCAGAACCAGGGGTCCACAATGTCACCTTATCCTAGAGGAAGTTCTACAGGCCCCTTAACTCCTGCCCATGCCTCAAAGACCTGTGAAAGGCCCCAGGAAATACGGTAAATAAATGCTGCTTTCACTGGGCACGGTGGCTCATGCCTGTAATCCCAGCACTTTGGGAGGCCAAGGTGGGCAGATCACTTGAGGTCAGGGGTTTGAGACCAGCCTGACCTCAAGGTAGTGAAGCCCCATCTCAGCTAAAAATACAAAAATCAGCTGGGTGTGGGGATGCGTGCCTGGAGTCCCAGCTACTTGGGAGACTGAGGCACAAGAATCCCTTGAACCCAGGAAGTGGATGGTGCAGTGGGTGACAGGGCAAGACTCCATCTCAAAACAAACAAACAAAAAGCTTTCCCCTATCCTCAGCCCCTCCCCCGACTGGGATGTGAAAACAG